GACAGCCTGCAGTGACACCGGGACAGCCTGTGGGACACCGGGACAGCCTGCGGTGACACCGGGACTGCCCTGTGGGACACCAGGACAGCCTGTGGTGACACCGGGACAGCCTGTGGGACACCGGGACTGCCCTGCGGTGACACCGGGACAGCCTGTGGGACACCGGGACAGCCTGCGGTGACACCGGGACAGCCTGTGGGACACCGGGACTGCCCTGCGGTGACACCGGGACTGCCTGTGGGACACCGGGACAGCCTGCGGGGACACCGGGACAGCCTGTGGGACACCGGGACTGCCCTGTGGTGACACCGGGACAGCCCTGCGGTGACACCGGGACTGCCCTGCGGTGACACCGGGACTGCCTGTGGGACACCGGGACTGCCTGGGGGACACCGGGACAGCCTGCGGGGACACCGGGACAGCCTGCGGTGACACTGGGACAGCCTGCGGTGACACCGGGACAGCCTGAGGTGACACCGGGACAGCCTGTGGGACACCGGGACAGCCTGCAGGACACCGGGACAGCCTGTGGGACACCGGGACAGCCTGCGGGACACCGGGACTGCCCTGCAGTGACACCGGCACAGCCCTGCGGTGACACCGGGACAGCCCTGCGGTGACACCGGGACAGCCTGCGGGACACCGGGACAGCCTGTGGTGACACCGGGACAGCCTGTGGGACACCGGGACAGCCGGGGACACCGGGACAGCCTGTGGGACACCGGGACAGCCTGTGGGGACACCGGGACAGCCTGCGGTGACACCGGGACAGCCGGGGACACCCCCGGGAACCCCGGGCACGGGGGGACACCGCCCGGGGGGGCACGGGGCACGGAGAGCCCCGTGGGAAAAGGGACAGGGACACAAAAAGGGGAAGGGACAGTGAGCTCAGGGTGGGGAAGGGACACAGATCTTGGGTGCTGGGGACGGTGACCACAGGGGGAGGGGACAGTGACCTGGGAGGGGGAAGGGACAGTGACCTCAGGGGGAAAAAGGACACAGATTTTGGGGGGGATGGGGACAGTGACACAAGGGGAGGGGACAGGGACCCAAGGTGGGGAAGGGACACAGATCTCAGGTGTTGGGGACAGTGACCTCAGCGGGAGGGGACAGGGACACAAAAGGGGGAAGGGACAGTGACCTCAGGGGGGAAGGGACAGTGACCTCAGGGGGAAAACGGACACAGATTTTGGGGAGGATGGGGACAGTGACACAAGGGGAGGGGACAGTGACTTCGGGGCAGGGGGAAGGGACACAGATCTCAGGTACTGGGGACAGTGACCTCAGGGGGGAAGGGACGGTGACCCGGGGAGGAGGGGACAGTGTCCAGGGTGGGGAGAAAGGGACGGTGACCTCAGCGGGGAAGGGACAGTGACCCAGGGAGGGGAAGGGGACAGATCTCAGGTGCTGGGGACAGTGACTCAGGGGGGAAGGGACAGTGACCTCAGAGGGGAAGGGGACAGATCTCAGGTGCTGGGGACAGTGACCTTAGGGAGAAAGGGACAGTGACCCAGGGAGAAAAGGACAGTGACCCAGGGAGGGGAAGGACACAGATCTCAGGTGCTGGGGACAGTGACCTCAGGGGGGAAGGGACAGTGACTCAGAGGGGAAGGGGACAGATGTCAGGTGCTGGGGACAGTGACTCAGGGGGGAAGGGGACACGGAGCCCGGGCTGGGGACACCCGCGGCCAGCCCGGCCTCACCTGGGTGCCCGGGGCCGTCAGGTTGAGGGTGGTGGGGCGATGCTTCTGCGTCTCGTCCAGGGCGGGCGAGGGGATGGGCGAGGCCGAGGGGGAGGGCGGCGCCTCCGGCTCGTTGCCTTCCTCCTCCTCCTCCTCCTCCTCCTCCTCCTCCTCCTCCTCCTCCTCGTCGTCGTTGTCGTCGATCATCTCGAACTCCTGGAAGTCGTCCTGGAAGGTGCACACGGGGTGCGGCTGCTCCCCGCGCTCCAGCACCAGGCAGTCCTGCGGGTGGCAGCGCGTCACGGAGCTGGGGACAGCCGCGGGCCACCCTCCCCGACACCCAGGGGGTGGCAGCGTCCCCAGCCCCCTCTGGGCTGTCCGGGATGGGACAGGGGACCCCCGGCTCGTCCCCTTGGCCTCGGCACCCACAGAGCCACCGCAGCCACCGCTGCGGGCCACTCGTGGCAGGCGGTGTCCCCGCGGCCCCGCCGTGTCCCCGC